CTGTTTAGGAAATGAATTTAAATAAATAAATAAATTTAATTAAATCTTTCGAAGGGAATAATTTTCAAAGTAGAAGTATCAAATTTTAGGTCCCCCCATACCATTTTTTATTTTATTTAAATCATTTCTTTTCTTTCCCCTTGATAGATAATTAGTGAATAAATTCCCGTCGTTAAAGATACATTGAAGTTTGTCATCTAAAAACTCAATGTTAAAAAGGGAGAACATATTTATTTATTTATTTTGTATATTTATGTTCACTCCATTTCTTACCGTCGAAACCTTATTTTTCGCCAAAAGTGATGGTAAAACTTGGTCTTTCATGCATACAAGATGCCAAAGAGTAGTAGAGAAACAAACCCTAAATCTTCACTAAGGACTAAGATTGTATGTATGCTTCAGCAACGTTCAGGAACCAAATCCAATAGAGTATCAGAATCAACCATTTGTCCCACAAAACAACAAACCGTTGGGCAAAAACTGTCCATTTCAGGACAAAATATATATTAATTGCAGTTTTCAATGTGTGTATGTATGAATTTTCACCTGTAATTCATGTGAGAACCAAATATCAAATCCCACAGACCACAGATTTAGCAAATTTGCAGAGAATTGGAGTTACATGACAGAAAATTTAGAGCCCTCTTCGAAATGCTTAAAAGAAGATTCATTTCTCTTCTCATTCCATCTGATAGAAATGAATCCGACACAACAAAGGATTGTGACATTTGTCAAGCAAATAAGAGGCAAGGTGGCTACAGCTGGAAGAAATGGCATGAGTAAGAAGAAAACATTTTAATCAAGGCATGTGTTAATCAATGATTGCAAGCAGAGCCGGTCCTGTATTTAATGGGCCCTGAGGCGAAATATGAAAAGTAGGCCCCCCAGCGACAAAATTCAAAAGTGTATTATGCAACTCATTGCTAACTTAAAAAATTAACATTAAAACAACAACGAAATATATTATAAAAACGATTTATATTATAAATCATCAAACCAAAAATTTCAAACAATTAATTAAATACTATTCGTCTTGCTGTTTTAGAGGCAAAAACATCAATCAAATCTGAATAACTTAACTGTTCAACCAGTTCTTTTTCTATTGATAGCATAGCCAACCCATTTAATCTTTCTTGCGACATAGTTGATCGGAGATAGGTTTTGATCAACTTTAATTTTGAGAAACTTCTTTCTGCAGATGCAACTGTAACCGGTATGGTTAACAAAATTTGGTAAGCAATATAAGCATTTGGAAAACAAACATCCAATGTCTTCAAATATTGTAGCACTTCAATTGCTCTTGTTACTTCACTTGGTATATAACACCTCAAGACTTGTAACTCTAAATACAGCTTCAATTCCCATTTCGCTTGCCTTTTTTGTCGCTTCATCTTTGGCAATAGCAAATCCAATTTCTCTGTATTCTTCAAGAAATGAAACAAGTCCTTGCAAGAGGTCGATAGCATGATCAATATCTATAGATTCAGTTTAAAGAAATTTACTCACATTATTAACAGCATGCAACAATCTGTGCCAGATTATCATGCCAAACAAAAACTCAAAATTTTGAAGTTCATGTGTTGCTAATGACTCGGCTTCACTCTTCACTTTAGGATCTTCATTACTTTCTGCTAAATCAAGTAATGCATCTCTTATCTGTGCAGTTTGCTCCATTATAGGCTTCACACTTTCAACATGACTTTCCCAATATGTTTGTGACAATGGCTTCACTGTCAACCCTTGAACATTATCCTTGAAAATTTTCCATCGCTTGGTAGAAGAGGAAAACAATGTGTAGATGCGTTGTATCACTCCGAAGAAGGATACAGCTTTGGAACAACAGTTCACCATATCACATAATGCTAGATTTAGACTATGAGTGCCACATGGAGTATAGAAAGCTCGGGGATTCATTTCATGGACTTTTCTTTGCACACCTTTGTGTTTCCCGCTCATGTTAGATCCATTGTCGTACCCTTGCCCTCTAATGTCATCAATATCGAGATCAATTTTTATCAAAGCCTTTTGAAGCTCGGTTGCAAGTCCAAGTCCTGTTGTGTCATCTACTTTCAAAAATTCTAGCCAATGTTCTTGAACTATAGGTAAGTTTGACGAATTATCTACAAATCGTACAATTAAAGACATTTGCTCCTCCTGACTTGCATCTGGAGTACAATCAAGTATAACTGCGAAATATTTTGCATCTTTAACTTTCTTGACAATTGAACTTCTCACCTGATTAGCCAACAACTGTATCAACTCATTTTGAATTTTTTTGCCAAGATACGTATATTGAATCTCTTTTGGTTTAGCCCGCCGAAGGTGCTCTTGCATTACTGGATCAAATTCACTAACCATTTCGACCATTTGTAAAAATAGGCCATTGTTCTCAACATGTAGCCTCTCATCATCTCCTCGAAATGGCAATGTGTTTTTCGCAAGTCTTTTAACAATAGCGATTATCCTTGTTAATACATGTCTCCAATGTTCTCTTTCAGCATCAATCAACAATTCAACGCTTTTATCAATTGTAGTTTTTGATCGAAACCTATTTTCCAATTCAATCCAACTAGTCATGCAACGTAAATGCTCCTCATTTCCTTCATGACTTTTAATAGACCGATGCAAATTATGCCAATCTTTGAACCCATCATTACCTAGTTGGCCAACTTTTATCACATTTATTGGTGTTTTAAACAACTTACAACAAAAGCAGAAGATCCTGTCCATAGAAACTGAATATACTAGCCATCTTCTATCAACTGCTTTTCCATTTGGTAGCAATCGCTTATATTGTGAAGAATCGAAATGTCTATTTGTATAGTCTTTTGGAAACGAGATGTCATCAACTCTTTTTGGACCCCTTTCAACTAAATAATCCCTTGTTTTTTGATCAATAATTTTCCCATTTCCGGGATCATCCAAATTTAGAGAAAAGCAACCCTCTTCTTCCTTATCATCTTCTTCATCATTAGAGACGGGTTTCATCACTTCTTCTTCCTTATCCTCATTCATCACTTCTTCTTCCTTATCCTCGGTACGTTGACTCACTTCTTCATCCTCATCCTCATTCAACGCATTCACATTGTCACTTTTGAAGTACTTGTTAATATCCCCTGCTTGACTTTGAATTAATGCAATTTCATTTCGTTTTCTTTTCCTCTTTTGAGCACCAGACTCGTATTTAGGAGGCATAGTAATGTCCAATGATTAGCCTAAAAAACAATTACAAAATAACTCAATTATCTCACATTTATAGTTTCCAATATAGTTATTACGTGCGCCTGTGCAATTGTTCATCCTACAATAAGCAATCATATAAGCCGACCAGGCCGCAATTATATAAGCCGACCAGGCTGCAATTATATAAGCCGACAAGGCTTCAAACATTTACAATCTCTTCAATAACAACTTAGGGTAAGCCATTGCTTACCTGATAAGCGAAATTTTGACGGAAATTGTGGAATTACACCCTTAAGAATGATCCCGTTTTCTGAACTGGTGGTAAGCTTATCTCAATTTTTCAATTGTGTCAACGATACTCTAGCATAGCAAAAAGAAACGTGTAAGGAAATAACTATATCAATTAATGTTGTCATCAAGCTCATATTTGATTTCAAATAAATGCTAACAATTACCTACAACAATTAATTTACAGATTTCTGTATCGCTAAAAATTTTGACCAAAAAGTAGAAAATGCATGCATGCCATAAATGTCCATTTAAATTTTAAAACATATATATATTTATTTGATCACCAAACACAAATAATCAAATCTACTCGTACTTGAAGAGATCGAGTTTGACAGCGATGGGGGTGGTTCTGCTGGGCCTGAGCTTGACGCTATATTATCGAAAAAGGAAGAAAAATTGCACAATATGGAGAACAGAAGGTGGGTAACTTTGTGCCATTTTATGGTGAAAGGTTAACTAATACTAGGTCTAGAATACTCTCACTTTTCAACTTCTCTCTGCTAAATTACATGCTTATACTACCCATGTTTCAGGAAGTAGAACTGAAAGCCATAAGAAAGATTATGAGCTGCCATTGTACCGCGCATCTACAATTTCAAAAGCCACCAATAATTTTTCAGAAAACAACAAGCTTGGACAAGGTGGATATGGGCCAGTTTACAAGGTGAAAAGTGAATACAACATTACTTCAAGTAAATCAGAGACCTTTAGATAATTAGTATCATATAAAATCCTCACGTTTTTAATACAATTATATGACTAGTGAACTTTTCTTGAGTGGCAATGCCTCAAGAGTAAAAACACATGCACGAAATAAGGATTTTAAAATGGTGAATAACCCTTAAGCAACAGATATCAATCCTAGAAAGAAATGTAACTTTTGTACTTTATTTCTTATAACAAAGAAGTGAAAGAACTTTTGCAGAAGATCAAAATTGTATGTCTTCTGAAAATTAGACTTGTTCCATAGGTTCAGTTCAACAAGAATCAAGGCCTGGAAAAAGTGATCTTCTTCAAAATTTAGTAAGAAATTTTTGAAAGGTGATGGACACTTCTGCACACTGAGCATCATCCATGCATATATCTGTATCAATGTTCAAATATCCCCGTCTATAGTATATGGGACGAAGTCTTCAAATTCAATACACATAACATAAAGGTTAGCCTATGAGACATATTAAAATATCATATTAATTAGCAATCTACTCTTAATTTTGATATTTTGATAACAATTTCAGTTTCAGCTGTAAAAAGTCTCAAACCCTAGATCATTACCCAATACCCTATAATTGAAAATGAACACTTGAACTAGATAGCAGATCTATAAATGTAATTATAAATTATGTAAAGAAACATCAAAGCAAGAAAATGCTCAGGATCAAAATTCAAACAAACAAAATCAACAATTTATCAGCCAGCAAACAAATGGCAAAAAATCGAATCTGTGGAGTGCAGAGCCAGACAGAGTCACAGAGGGAAGGGGCTTTCTGTGGACTTGGTCGGCGGACGGTGGACCTGCAGCCTGCGGTCCTGTGGAGGCGAGCAGCGAAGAGCGAACTAGGTAGTAGCCAGTAGGTGACTCGGCAGTAGGCAGCACAGCCAGCACTCAGCAGAAGCAGACGCCAGAAGAAGGGCCAAGGAAGATAAGATTCGTGGTGAACTCACCGTCTCACCGTCGCCGTCACTCACCGGACGCCTGGACTGTGTCAATGTTGAGAGGGGAGTCACGGTGGCTTCACAGTCGTGAGTTGGAAGCAGTTCTTGAATTTTTTTCATGAATTATTTTGGGAATTTAGGGAATGGATTGGATTTGATTTGGATTTATGTATTGTTGGGTTGGGATTGGTTTAGTTATTGGATTGGGTTTCATTTGGGCCGGATGGATTAAAAAAAATAAAAAAAAAGGGGGCGAAATGAGGCCCCCTAAAATCTTGGGCCTCTGGCGGAGGCCTCATTCGCCTCGGCCCAGGACCAGGCCTGATTGCAAGGAGCCTAACAATACTTGTAAGCTAAGTCTGGTAACGTACAAACGCTTAAATAAGCCGATAAGTTCAAACTAAAAAAGGGAAAGTTCAAACACAAACTTAACCATCTTATAAGTTATGATGGTCAAAAAAGGGTTTCCATCCACTAGCTAAATATATCTTATCATCAACTCTTTCTAATCGTATGTCAGAAATTACACCATCATACTATTGGAAATTTACTTATCATGCACAACGGAATTAAAAACAAATTTCAATTTTCACCACGAATCATCTTTGTATTTAGATAGGAATTGTGATAAAAGTTATACCTTTTTGAGATCTGCAAACTCTTTTGTTTTTCCTTTGTTCCAGCAACCTTGATCTACCACTTACAGTTGTCAAATTGTACAGCATCCAATAGAATTCTACACAGAGAACAGATTGTAGCCACCAGGGTTTTCTCCTCTTGTACTAGCAAAAATTACGAGAATCTCTACAAACTGAAGACCCTAATCACGTATTTATATAAGCACAAACGGGCTTGACCTGATCAGATCCAATATTTAATTAAGTCATTTAATTAAATCCGGTTCGTGAATTAATTAATCTAATAAATTAATTCGGGCCTATAAATAGCAACCCAAATAATTAATTTATTCAACGCTTGTTAAATTAATTAATTGACAAATTATAATCTTCCAATTTTCTTTTTGTGTGCGACCTATCAAATTCTTGATAACAATGTCTAACAACGTGAAATATTTTTTTGATATAATCAATATTGAGAAATTTAAACACCATTTTAATTTATCACCAATTTATATTTGTCTTGCCAGATTGACATCTAGCAATATATCATGGCAATACATGTGATGGAAAATATCACGTGGTATGACAAAACCAAACTTATTCGTTTACCATGAAACTATAATCCTTTTATCAATATGATTCGATCAATTACGAGATATGGAAATGTGTTAATCTCGATCATCGATCATATCTTTCATTCCACTATTAAGTCTATATAAGTCGAAAACTCCTTTTCGACTTCTGAGTATACTTTACCAAGGATTTCGTTATCGACTTAATTGAATGAAATGCAGATTATAATCTCTTACTATCTAAGAGTGATTAATCCTCTATTTGTCATTCACAACCTTCATATGATTCTTGACAAACCCGAACGATGCCGTATTAGTGGCATTTGGTAGAGCAACATCCAATATCATCAAAGTATGACTATCCTCATACAAGACACTATGACAACCTCAAGTCAAAAAACCAATTCCACTACTGAACGTTAAATATTAACCACTGACACTCAAATAGTTATCCATGTAGAATCTCTTAGCGAATCTCCAATGTTTTGTTCTATAACAAAACATCCACGCGTTCATTTAAGTGTCTCCACACTTTAGCTTGTGATCAGCTACTTACTTCACAAGTAATATTATTTTATGTTTTCTGTTTTGAGTGATGTGGTGAAACCTGTAATGGTGTCCATTTTCCGTTTCAAGTGATGTGGTGAAATCTGGACAATTTTGACCTTGCACATTCGGATGACGAGTGTCGTTGATTGGTTGCCGCAGTTGCTGGAGATAATGGTGTGCCTGGAGCGATGAATTTGCATCTCTCCATGTTTATGTACTCGTAGATATGGTCCACTCGATTTCGTGTTATTTCCTTTCATTATTACTATTATAGTTATCGTGGTGTATCTATTTACTTATTGCATTAGAAGTCATCATGTAAGGTGGCATTAAGTTTGCGGTAACCATCTGGGCCTAGGAATTATTTGCCTTAAATTATTTGTAAATTTGTTTCTTCACCATTAGAATTGCTTGTAACCTTTAAAAAGTTTGTTTGACTATTCTATGTAAATTGTGTCCGTACGTTGCTTGTAGTCATTGTTGTGTTTAGTGCATTTTTTGGTATAATTACTACATATTTTGAGTTGTATTTTTTAATAAAAAAAATGTGATTTTTCAATTTGACAAAACAAAAAGTTCTTATAAAACAATTGATGGCAAATGTAGGTTTAAAGCAAGAGTGAAAGTTAAGATATGTTTTAATTGCGATAAATTTGGACATGTTGAAATAGGCTGTTCTAGGAAGAATTATAGAAGGATAGAAGAGGAAAGAGACGAGACGAATGCTGCCACTGGTCTAGTTATGACCCGAGTGAGGTTTATTTAGAGTAAACCTGGTTACTACATGTGCATCTATATGTAATTCTTTCTATATGTATGATTGCTTAATTCTATTGCATTATTATATGTTACACTTTCAATCTGTTTGATGTGAATAATAACATAAATTTGATAATGATCTCATTATTTTGTATAATGTGTTTGTATGCATAGTGGGTTGAGATTTATAGCATATTCCTTTTGCTCTATGAATGGGGTGAGAAGGTGTTGTAGTGAGAAGAAAGATGGGCAGCAGTTTTTCTCTTTCATTTTTGTGAATCTGTGTGGTTCGTGAGATATAAGGAGGTAGTCAAGTATGGGTTATATTCTTCCTCTTTGTGAGCATCTTTTTTGAGTGTAGCGATGTAACTGATTCTTTCTTCTATTATCTTTTTTGAGTGCCACATTCACCATTCCCTTTGTGATAAATCCTTTGTGGACTTCTTTAGCATTGGTGTTGAAGTAACCTTATGGTCCATGGTCGAGTTAACCTGGGCCTAACCTTTGTGTCACCATAGGTGTCGATTCGCTATAGTGAATTTAAGATGCATTGGTCGTAAGTATGTTTATTGGTAATGTGGAGTGTAGATACCTGAATATGCATTGGTGATACATACAAGGAATGTAGAGAGTGATATTTGGATCACGAGAGGTGATGTCATTAAATGTTGGAATCATATATCTGTTAAGACTCTGATCAGGCGGAGTGTGAGGTTGACACTTCTATCACTTCTGCTAGGTGAAAGCCTATTATTCGCTTAGGTTGAGAGAAGTGATATAGTGATAGAGAATTATCACAAATTTAGGATCTATATTGGTTTACAAAGTTAACCTAAGTTAGTGAATAGTCTTGTGAGCATAGTGGATGATATTGAGAAGAGATATGTTCCTTGCTAGTTGAACACGTTTGGAAAGATCCCCTTAAACTTCTTTTAATAATCTATACCATAAGTTGTGAGCTAATCCTGATTGAAATTTTCTAGTTCTCTCCAAGTAAAATCAATTTTATCTATTCATTGTTTCTCTCTTTGGAGCAATTAGTTTTACCTGTCAATTACATTTTTCTTCAAGATTCTACTTGTGAGTGACGTCATGACTTCTTGATGGTATAAATTAATGGAAAAATCTTAACATAATAGCACCGAAGTGAAATTTTATATATCGGCAAGTGCACAAGTAAATTAATGGAATCAATGAGCAACCAGATCGAACCACAAAGATTGCACATTAAGAAAGCCGAATCTAATATAAATTAATCATTACTCCAGTCTAGTTGATAAGAGTCAAGTTTGTTTGTCGAAGTAATTAAAACTAAAGATGGTTAGTATAAGAAATTAACACTAACTAAATAGAATGAGAGTTCAAGTGATTTAAATTACCTAAGGTTTTGAAATGTAGAAATTACATGTCTCACACAAATTTAAATAATTATCCAGAAAATACATTTTCACGTTTTTTAATCCTATTATAAGTGCATTTTATAAAGTAAATGTGATATGTAACAACCTAGATCAAGTAAATGCTATACGTAAATGTGATAAAGTATATGTTAAATAAGTAAATGTGATAAAGTAAATGCATTTCAAAGATATTGGGATTGTAACTCAAATAAAAAACCCTAGATCAAGATTGTGAAGATCACGATTTGAAGCCATTTTCGAACAGATCCAATGTAATACACTTTGTAGTCGAGCATTAAAAACTGAATGGCAATCCCAACTCATCGAACAACACTTGGCGAAAGTTTTACCAATTGACGTGAATTCAATTCGCCGAGATTATCATCATATGTCAACGCCGAAAAGGCGCTTATCTATGGATTCCATCAGAATTAACCAGATCAACGAAGGTTCTAAATCACTGGAGATAATCGAACCAAAAAATGAAAATACCCAGACTTGACTACACGTCGTATAACTCACTCATTAACCATCTTGTTAGACCCAAAGGAAAAAGTTTGAAGGGTCAACTGATTTTCTAGTCTCACACTCTCAGAGCAAGAATCTGTTATTGATTTCGAATCATTGCTCCAT